TCCTTCCTTCCTTCCTTCCTTCCTTCCTTCCTTCCTTCCTTCCTTCCTTCCTTCCTTCCTTCCTTCTTCCCTCCCTCTCATATGAAAACAATAAAACAAATTAAAAATATTTTATGTCTATAAATTGAAGAGAAACTTTATTATTGTTGTTGATGCTACCTCAAATACTACATTTATTAAGTGGCAAATTAGGTCCAATACAATTTTATTAGTAGATCAAGAGGAAGAATTCTGCTTATTATATGATTCAGAAATGCAATAATAGGCAAACAAACATGGGAAGAAATGGAAGTTATTTTTTTTTACTACCAAAGATGGTATGTTATTGGGTTCACCATCATAGCAGACAAGAAGACTTCGCCCCTTTTTGTACAACTTTCCAGGGTATGTTTAATGAGCAGTATTTGCAATGTCAAGTCCTAACTTGGCTGAATCCACATTGTAGCTGACAGCAGTTATTTCATCTGCAATGGAGAATTTGTGTCACATAATATTACCTTCGATGTCATGTGAGGATTTTCCTTGGTAGAGAAGCATAACTTTTGTTACGGTCTGTAGTATTCCTTATGCAAATTGATTGCTAGTGTGGACAGGGTCAGCTTGAATTAAGCATCAGTTTTTGCCACTGGAACAAGCCACACAAGCGTATGCCTTCAACGAAGCAGAATCATATTTGGATCCTATCAGCTGGCCAAGGATGTCATACTGTGGCAATATATATTCCTATGAGAGTCTATGGCTCTGATGTTACGCTGACTGGATTCTGACATTTCTTGTTCAATCATGATATGTTGAATAAGCCACAATCAGGTGATTTCTGCATGAAAATCCTAAATCATCAGTTATGATTTACAGATCACAATTAGGTTCAAACAATTCATTGAGCTAAACTGAGCCAACTACATTACCACGCAACGTGTGACTGTTGTAAGTGTTTATATTAATGATCTATTTAAATAGGAGTATTTTAATCACGTGTTTAACTTGTCCATGCTTCATGTTATCCATCTGTAAAATGCTCAGATACTTGTAGGCTTCAACTTGGTGGCTCCTGGTGGTTTGATTTTATCCTGCTTATTGCTACTGTAGCATATTTCTCCAGACCAAATTTCATTGTTATATCTGTGCTAAAAATTCTTAGGTATTTGTCAGTAACTGGATCTTGATTTCTGATTTTCTATAAAGCTTCAGATCATCCATATAAAGCAAATGTGAGATTTTGTTCACGTTTTTTCATGTTTGGAAGCCAAAAATTGTTTTCTTCAAAATTGTTAAAAGTGGGATCATGGCAATGACAAATAGTAAAGTAGGTAATGAGTTACCCTAGAAGATGACACTTTTACTTTTTTGGGCCTTACTTTCAGTATTGGCGGTTCTCTTTCTACTGGTAATCCTAGATGTGTCATAATTTTCTCTTTTAATTCTTCCTGTCAAGGGCTCAGTTCACTGGTTGTTTCAGTGCTGGCATGTACTGGCTCTGTTATTACTTCTAAATTATAATTTCTGTAGTTCATATCAGCTTTTTCCTTTATATTTGCAATTATTATCTGGGTTTTTTTCTACTATTGTTTCAAGGTCTTCCATTTTCACAATTTTTCACTATCATTTACTAATTTCACTATTTTTCTGGCTGCCCTCCGGCTCTGTATCCCTGAATATTTTATTTTTGATAATGAATTTGAGTCTGGATAAATTCTTTTCCAATGTTCAAACATTCCCTTCAAGCATCCATGCTTTGTTGGACCCTACTGATAAGACCATAATGGCACAATTTTCAAACATAGCATACTTTTGTCTTGTCTGTGATTGTTCTTCCAATAATCTTATAAAACTAGTCCCTAGTTGCAGCTCCTGGATCCCACTGCCCATTTACTGAAGATGCTCAGGAACTCTTAACATCTTATGTTGATCCTTGTTCACCTGGTAACCACCAATCCTGTATAGGATTCTTTTTTCTCATCATATTAAATGGGTTGATGGATACGCTTAATCTGGCTAAGACCTGTCTGATTTGGCTGACCCTTGTGATAGAATACACTACCACCAGCAGAGTTCTCAACTTCTTCAGAGCATCACAACCTTCCCTCCACTATTAATGCACAAGTGCTGGTAGCTACCAATTTATAAGTACAAATTTACAGAAGGTTCAGGTTAGCCTATTTTTCCCCTCTCTCCTTGGTTGGGGCAACAGAGGGAGAAGACAAGAAGGTCCACTGCCTATTTGAGAATATATGGAAGATAGAACACACAGTGTGTTTGCATGTTGCTTTAGCATTTTCAGAACACTTTATACTTTTATTTACAGATATGAGTAACAAGTTTGAAATAATAATAATAATAATATAACTAGATCAATAAAGCTGAAAATTGTAGAAAAGTACAACTCAGAAGTACAACCCAGATGAAGCAAGATTTGGATAGGGTCTCCCATTTCATGTTCTTAAATATTTATGGCACATTATTCAAATATTTGCCTAGCAACTTAGGGTATTTGAGCTCAGTGACTTTTTTCAACTTTTCATTAGACCTAATTTAATAATTTCTTTTACAACTCCTTCAGCACATTTGCCTTCCATTACACAGCCTCACATCCCTGAAGTCTCATCCAAAGCATCTTGAGAGAAGATGCCAAAAAAAACCCCATCTATGTGTTTTGAGCCACCTGGGTATGGAGCTAGGTCAATGTCAATCATACCTCAAGGCCAGAAGTTACATGAGGACACAACTTGGTGGAAGGAGACTATCAAAGCCATTTGAAGCCTGTGAAAAGCTGATGCAGGTGGAAAGTCCTGATGTGGTAAGGCTAAATGTTTCACTTACATTATTTCAATATTTGAACTAAACATTTTGAACTATAGAAATATAGCAAAGGTCAACTTTCTATCTCCTGGAAAAGAAGCTATACCATTTTGATACTTTTTGTGTTAAACATTGAAAGTAAACATCTTCAGGACTATATTCAGTGCCCCAATTCCATCAGATGACATTCAGTGCATTTTCCCTCATTTCATTCATCCAAGTCTTCTAAGGAGTTTTGCCATTCTTACCTTATTCAAGGGGAATGAGTCTATGAAATGGGAGAGTTATATAGATTATCATGGTACTTCAGCAAACCAATGTGGGATTGGAATCCAAATCTTAATGACTTCAGCTAAAAATAAAAAATAAGCATATAAATGGAAAACAGTAGGTCCTCCTTCTGCTTTCAACATGCAGGAAGTGTAAAACTGTAAGTAGTGAAAAGGTTAGTTCCTTCCACAGAATTACAGTATCAGTCAATGTGTTTGTTTTTCACTAGACAGATTAACCATGAGAATGATACTAAATATAACAACAAGTGATACATTTTACCCAGGAATTATTTTCTCTCTCTCTCTCTCTCTGAAGAGATCTGATTTCCACAAACACAAACTAAATAAAAGACAAATGAGTCTATATTTTCAGCATAGAGATCCATTATGCTTTATTTACATGCATCACACTTTATTTTACAAACTAGATTACTGTTGAGAATGGAGTACACAAGGCAATATCTACTAACATCAAGTGGAGTTAAGCTCTGCACCACTAGTTCATTTGCAAAAGGGAAAGATTTCCAAATCAAACTGACATCCAATTGTTATGTAGTAAGGTAGTATATTCACCTATGTCAGCATTTGGTTTGAGAAAAGCCTCCTCTAAATTTATGACAGTGCCAACTTTCAAATGAAAGTAGCTCATACAAAAAGTAAAAATTGTGTACCCCTGTAAAAGATGGCCATGTACTAAGGCAGTGATAGAATATATTCTTCAAAAGAATGTGGCTCAACAGTGAAAGAAATAATCCAGACAAGACAGTTTACAGATACTGTATACATGTTTTGTCCACTCATACAACTTTTTTTTTAATTAAAAAAGTTTCATACATGAAGCCAAAATGTACAATAATCTGGTCCCCTTCCTTATCAGCTGATATTTCTGATGTACATCATGCAAAGAATGTAATGAACCGGCGATTGACTGCCAAGAAGTTATGTCGTTTTCAAAAGCAACCTATTCCATTTTTTTTCTTAAGATAGATACAATGGGCAGCAGGTTAACTTACACTTTAGAAAAAAGATGCAATCTAAAAAGAGAATGGTATGAACTATTCAGAAGGCAGCTAAAAAAAATTGCTTGTGTTTCTGTGCCAACCCTTATTTCAATTTTTAATGGGTTCATAATTCAAAAATTAGGGTGATGGGAGCTATTTATTTGATTCTATTTTACAGGGACAGTCCCACTAGTCAACCAACAGTCTTAGAATAATGGACTTATGTACACAAAAAAGAAACTCCTCAAGAGTGTGATCTCATGCTTAAGTGCTTTATAGCACTAGAGTACTCAAAAATGTTCAGAAGTGAACCTTACGCATTAATTGATGGACAGTTTGGGCGATATATGCTTTGCAAACTCAAAATCATTTACATGGAACTTTGGGACTACTGCACTATGAGGTTAGGGACTGACATTTGCCTTTTAAAAGATGGAGCTTCATTGTAAAAAGGATCCCAAGCAACAGAATTGGCTTTCAGTGAAAGAAACATGCCATCATTTGGCTTGATGCCCAAATTTAAAATTTTGGGGTTTAAAACCCATTGGTTAGGAATTCTGATTTGTACTGTACAAATCAGCACAGTGCAAATGAGAGCTCCCAACCAATATGTTTATTGGCTGATTGGGGAATTCTGGAAGCTGTTGTTCTCCATACATCTGGAAGGTATCTCTTCCTTGCTCTTCTTTCCTGTACAAAGTGAGGGAATTAAGCAGCTTTCCGCTCATTGTTCACAATGTTTTCATCCATTGGAGATTTTCAATTTGGTGTGAAAAAGTGACATAGATGTAAATGTATAAATGTTCTACCTGATCCCAACTTAAAAACTGATTTACTCACACCATGCTTATGCAAACAAACAAGGACCAAATTATGCAGACTTCTTGGATTTAAAAATGTGATGGTAAGCCATGATGTATTCCACAAGCTGGTCAGGAGGAAGGAATGTTCATGACAGCCCATTCCTGTATTGCTAAGCCATAATTTAATGCAGATGGGCATAAACCTTTTTGATCTGAGTGACTGTCTGATTATTTTCTTCCTCTAATAAAAGCCTCATAATATGTGACATATTGCCATTTGACCTGTGGGCCATACACAGCCTCAAATCCTTGGTTTAGTATTATACCTGAACTAGACCAGTATCTGAGGATTTATTGGTTGCTTGCTTTTGCCTAGCACCTGACTCCTTTAGGCCAATAGAAACAGCATACTTATAACTAGGGAAGAAAATTGGGTTGTCACTGTATATTTTGTGGCCATCCTACTGGCAAAAGATAATACAGAAAGCTTAAGGCTATAAGCAGCACTCCATTGGCTAGCAAGTATCCTTGAGAGCCAAAGTTTGCCATTGCGTTCCCAGTTGGGGACAGTACCTCAAATGTGGAGTTATTTATATTGTGAGGGACAGACAATAGGAAAAAAAGTGACACAGAGCAAATTGATGGATTTCCATGCAATTGCTTTACATGACTGAGAAAATAGTGCAGCATACTATGTTCCCTAGCTTGGTCTTCAACTCTTTACTTGCCAGTCAGCCTAGTCAAGAGCCTGTTAGTTCAAATGCTGTGAAGTGCAATCTAATTCAGAGGGAGGCGGATGGTTTGGGAAACATTTCTATATCCCCTGAGACACTTGTGGGTGAACCTGGATAGAATGAGGCTTACATTTGCCCATATTGACTCTAATAGCATCTGAATTTCAAATTACTGGGTTCCCCCCCCCAAAGAATGCACTTTTATTGCTGTTGCCATCCACTGGGATCCTAGGATCTGCATTTATCCCGTTGAAGCCACTGTTATCAAATTGCCCGTAGTACCACTAACCTGGCCAAAGAGGTTTGTAATTTTGCCCTTCTCCCCGCAAAGGATCATCACTTTTAATATGTGCCTGATTGTTCCCCAACAACCCTCTCTCAAGGAACTACAAAAATTCAGGTTGCAGCTGTCTTACATCGCATCAAGCCAAGGATTTATATAGGTCAATATTATTTGCCATTGATGGGCAGCATGTTCCCAAGGATGCTTTAGGGCAGAACCTAGAACATGTTACATAAATGTTCGTGCGCTATCACTTCACTTGGGTTCTTCCCCCCTCCCCAATTTGCTTTGTATGATTAAAATAAAAATATTTAAACAAGTACAGATGCTAACTAAGTGGATGGAGGTTTGTCTATTGAAATCTATATGCGAGCATCCGCAAGTACAACAGCATCATTAACTGCTTACTATTACAAATGTGCAATCTGATTAATGCATGCTTACTGTAATGTCATATTGGGTTTAATAGGACTTTAGTCTCAGGACAGTCTCAAAGCCTTACTGGTATTTATGGTGAGTACTGAATTTGATTGAAATCAACGGGATTTAAATCCTGCATAAATTATGGCCAAGTTACAAATATAGTTCTTTGTTTCATGTCCATTAATCATCCAGGGGTAGGGGTGGGATGACAAAATAGATGTGGCAATATCATAGAAAGATTGCATCTTATGTACTTGTGTCAGATGTTGAAATGCAAGTACAGAATCATGGCATTTGTGTAATGATGTCACTGCACACAGGCTGTCATTTTGGTGTCATTGCATCCTGGTCACCTGATTAAAATTAGAGCTGAGAAATGAAAAATCTATTCCTTTTTCTGCATCAGCTTCCTGATATGTTGCATTTTCAAGTATTGAAAGGAAACCCAGTCAAAGTAGAGGAAACCATAAACTTTGTACAGTACCAGATTTTTTTTTATGCAGAGAGTTTCTGTTGAGAAGACAAGACAGAAACTTGGAAATAAATTGTCCATCACCACATACATTTCCATTTCAAAGAACAAAATAACAACAAACATCCCAAAATATCATCATTGGCTTAATTCACATATAATGACGTGCCAGATACTCATATTTAGTAAAGGCATGTGAGCACATTCTTAACTAGCTTTGGTAATAGGTACCTGTAACTGAGTCTCTCAAGATAAGTCAATACTTTTCTTAAGCCCCTGGAACAGATGACATTTTTATAAGGTATTCCTTTCAGGGAAGCCCTTTCCAATGTGAAGAACAAGCACACACATTGGTGGTATATAATTAAAGAAACATGATAAACTATGCCCTGCCATAGACAAATATACCACCTTAATTATTAAAAAAATAGTCTGTATTTATTTGGAAAACAATAAAAATCATTTAACTAGTTTGAAAGTGTATATTCTATGAGCTATTTAGAACCACAACAGCACAGAATTGTCATCAAGTTATGAACTGCATGGTGGACTTTATGTGTTCTCCTAGAGAATAGCGCAGCACAAGGAGGAGGCAGCTACTGTACAAAACAAAACTTTCATCACACAAGGAGCTGTTATTTCACCAATATTACCTCAGAAGTTGGAAAAGAAGAGCAATATAGGGCCCACCGATGAATGTGTGTGTGTGTGTGTGTGTGTGAATGTGCTTGAATGCCTGCATGTGCACGCGCAGTGAAAGGTGGCAACTGAGAGGAATCACACCACGCAGGTACATGATTCACGTGCTGGTGGAAACTCATGCACTGAGACTTTGGGTTAAAATGCTAGTCTGTTCTCTTAACAATCATGCATAATGATCTGTTTCTGTACATAATAAAATATATTTATATATTTATATGCATTCTGCTTTTATGCCAAAAAAAGTTCTTCATATATCACTTTGGAGAAATATGTATATGTTGTCCTAAGCCAAAGTGTCTTCACACCATTAAAATAAAATTAAAAAAAAAAAAAATTAAAACGTACCATCAGGTTTTCCCCTATTTCTTTCTTGCCTTCTTTGCCCCTCCTTCACATGAAAAATACCAATAAAAAGTAATTAAACAGGACTTGCACAGCACCATAACTTTCAGTCATTATTACTATATAAATTTACAAAAAGAAATCCCTATAAGCAAAATATATAAAAACTACTTTGTTTTTCAATGGAATTTATCCAGTTACAATCTACGCTCCTATGAAAAGCTCTCGGTATGGATTTTCCCTCTGTGTCTCCTTCCTAACCACCTTTTTTTCCAGTTTCCACCATGTATCACAAGAGGAAAAGAATAAGGAAGAAAAAGATGAATAAATGATTATGAATGAAAAAAATCATCCAAGCCTTGGATATTACAGATACATAAAACTCTGTTCTCATGCAATATACTCATTTTTTTCTTTTAGGTTTTGTGTTGTTATTATTAATAAGAGTAATAATTTGAAAGCAAGCCATTGCCTTCTATGTGGTTATATTTGGCAAGTGGTAAACAATGCACCTCAGATTGGCCAATTGCTAAGCTATGGGGACAAACAAAAAAGCAAAAATTTACTGCAGCATTTGGGCAAAATTGCTCGCATAAACTCAGACTAGATTTAGATAAGAGTTACTGATTTTCCCCACAACGAAATGCCCTTTTCCCCTCACACCAACTGAACCTTGGTTAGGATGTAACACTAGTGGTAGCTAATTTTGTGAGGTAAAATCCACCCTCTCTTGGTACCAAAAATAAAAAGAAACATGTACAAGATTAGGAAAATATTTGGTTGGAGAGTTGTAGGGACTAGTTGAGAACTAATGAGTTAGCTAGCCAATCCCCACATTAAAACACCAAAGCAAATACAAACGTTTAGTTGTTCGTTCAAACTAACTCTTGAATGCAGTTGGTTGGTTGTACTCTAACGATTGCAGGAGTCCACAAAGAGTTCAGTGGCATTTTAAAGAGCAACATTTCATGACACCCTCTGTGGTTGCATACCTGGAATGCTATCCCGAAGATAGAAACAAAATGCAGAGGGCATTGGTACTTCTTGCATTGCATTTCTCTCTCCCCTTTTTTGCCATTCCTCGCTGTCCCTTACCATCTTATCTTAGAGCCCGATCCACGTCATACCGAATTTGCTAAGCCTTTAAAGTGCCACCATACTCGTCACTTGTGTTGCTGCAATAGTTTAATACAGCTGGAAACTGTATTGGTAATTCAAGTGCTGTTGATATTTCAAGCCTATTGTTGTGTATTTAATTTTCATGAGGAATTGGCACATTAGAAGGGAGCAAGTAAAGAATTTCACAGGGGGGGGGGGCGGAAGCATCTCTCGCCCCTTAAGAAAAGTGGGCTGGGGAAAACCCTGAAGAACAAAAGCCAACCTAAAAGCATCCTGCAACCCATCACCATTTTGGAACGCCATATACTGATTGACAAGCACATTACTGTAAAGACTACACAGTGTTCTGAAACAGAATGGTGGCTGAACCAACATATCCTCAAGTTGGTGGTGGATCACCCTACAGTAAGAAAAATTTGCATACTTCAAAATGAGTTCAGTTCCAGATAAGTCAGTTCTTTCCTCAAGTTCTGGGGCTCGCTAACAGTCTCTGTTTCGTTAGGAAAAGAATGCAGGGTTCACAAATGCTGTAAACGATATCCCTGTCTTTGCTGACAGTTGATTTTGGCAAGGATTTTTTTTTTCTTTAGGATTCATGTTGGATGAAGGGCCTGGAAAGAAAAAGAAAAAAGGGGATAATATAACATTTATCTAGTCATTACCCACAGACGGTTGAAGAAAGCAAACAGTCCTAAGCATGAACTTCCAGAAATTTTCAAGTCATCTTGAGGAAACCCAAATTTGTTATTTTGCAGTTATCTTTGACACTGGTGTAAAAGCGATGACAATATATTAGTACAACCCAAGACTGATTATTATATCCTAGCTCTAGGATGATTGTTGTTGTTTTTAATTAGGAAATCATGGAAGAGTTCTATTAATAAATATATAATAATGTTTTGGCTCGAGGGTTCCTAGTAAATGAACAGAGTTATGCAAACTGTAATACGTAATATTCTTTATAAGCTATGCTTCTGGGAGCATACACATTTAATAAATAGCTTCAGACATTACACAATTATGCGCAGTTCTGTTTTTCACACTTTAGCTGCCTTAGCTATACCTTAAATACAAAGGGCACACCTTCAAGAATGACAACTACTTTCAAATGCATCCTGTAAGAATTCTGGCAGACAAGACTGAAGAAGAAGAATAAATATTGCATATTGGTGTAGTCAAACTTCATTATTAATCCCCCCTCCCAATTTTTTCTCTCTTACATTTTAAAACAATTTGTTACAAGACCAAATGTAAGCATCAGAGAGTTGGGTTAGTTAACAAGAATTCTGTTTAGAATATGGTAAATATTTGTTCACCCATGTAAATCAGTATGAGGATACATCTGTTAATTCTTATGTACCTTGACTTATCCTAGAACTGCATTAGCCCCCTTGATTCAATTTTGGAGAGAAATCTTTTGACATTTCAACCCATTACTTTCCGCCTCATCACACAGAATGAATCTCTTTCACCTTCTCCCTAGAATCCACCAACATCATTTGACTTTCTGAGGTCCATTTGCTGTTTTCTTCAATCAAAAAGGTAGAGCAAAACTGATAGTTTTGATGCTCTCTGGATGCTGACTGGGAGAGATATTCTAAGGAGTCCTACAAAATTTGCAGGCCAAAGAATTCACAGTCACCTGCTAAACTCCATTAGCTTGGGGATGGATGAGAGGGTGAGAAAATGAGAGGTGATTCTGGAGAGGGCAACTATGGATTGGTTTTGGAAGGCAAAATCACTCCTTTTTCAAGGTGTATAACACAGATTATGTATTATGATCAGCTTGCATCCCACTAATTCTTATTGTTTTGATCAATGTAAAATGGTTTGAAAAATAACATATTGAAAATTAACATAAACATTGAGGGTACAACAGCCAGTCAGCCAGTGATACATTTTCTCCTCACTCCTAAAGAAAAAGGGGGGGGGCGTAGGAAGGAAAATCAGGTGCTATTTGAATGAATATGAATAATAGTGAAAAAGACTTCTTTGCCTTCTACTACTTTTTGCCTGCTCTATCTGTTGTCCTCTGAAACTGCTTGCTGTGAACGAGCTGGGAAATGAAATCATTTTTCAACAGCTGTTGCAAGGATCCCTGCATTTCTCCTCACTTATTTACACATTTTTGAATCTCATACCTCTGGCTGGGATATTACAGATACAATGTTATAGACAGAAAATTTGTATCTTCTCAGACACAATACTTCTCAGTTGCTTTAGTCCACAATGGTGCTACCTGATGAGTTTTAACTGGATGTTCTGCTGTTTTCATTTGTAAGATTCTCAAGCAGACCACTGGGAAAGATTTTGCGAAATTCTGGAAGCTCCCTTTCGATAAATTCTTTGTCTCTTGTGTGCAATGTAGATTCTTTATGACGAATTTACGGTATCTCCATTACTGTGGGACGGACTCAATATCACCCTTTGCGTTGGATTCTAAGCTAAGATCATTTAAGCAAATTTCAGGGAAAAAAACATGTTCTATGCATTCCTTTCTAATACAAAAATTCATTAGAGGAAATTGCAGGTTTCTAGTTAAACAATGTGGGAATGGGGCTTAAGGGCCTAAGAAACAAGCAGCATGGCTTCCTGAAATATCCTTAAATTAACATTTTAGCTCAGTTTGGGGCTAAATCTGCTGAGCTTTCAAGAAATGCAAACCAAAAATATATATTTCTATAGGTTTCCTATTTTTAATAATAATGTTATTAAATTTTTAAACAAGAAAGGTAAACACCAATAAGAACTGATAATTAAGTTGAGAGAAAGAATAAAGAAGGAAAGAGTTTTCTTTGAGTTTCCTATCATATATTTAGCTTAAGAATACAAAACATTATGTCTGAACATTGTTCATTTAAGGTTAACCCAGTGCTTCAAGTTAAATTTTGGGCAATTTTATATATGGTCACTGTAGCAACACTATTACAGGAAGTCTTCTACTTACGACCACAATTGGGCCTGAAATTTCTGCTGCTAAGTGAGACATTTGTTAAACTAATGTTGCCCCAGTTTATGACCTTTCTTGCCACAGTTGTTAAGTGAATCACTGCAGTTTGTTAAGTTAGTAACATAGTTGTTGAGTGAATCTGGCTTCCCCACTGACTTTGCTGGTCAGAAGGTCACCAAAGGTGATCATGTAAACCAGACTCCGGGTTCTGCAACCTGCAGCTCTGGAGCCACATGCGGCTCTTTCGGCCCCCTGCTGCGGCTCCCTGTCGGCTGATCCCACCACTGGCTGTGCCCACCCCTCCCCATCACTCCTCACCTGGGCTGAGAAGGTAAGGGTGATGGCAGGGGATGGAGACTTGCTTCATATTCCAGAGCAGGAGATGACTGGGTGGGAGTGAGTGATGTTGAATTGGCCACGCCCACCCAGTCACACCGGTTGTTAAATTATTGGCTCCCGGTGTTTTCTTTTCTGTGGGAAACAGGCCCAAATGGCTCTTTGAGTGTTTAAGGTTGCAGACCCCTGACCCAGACACTGCAACCATCATAAATATGCCAAGCGCCTCATAAATATGTCAAGCGCCCCAATCGTCATCACATGACCATAGGAATGCTGCAAGGGTCATAAGTGTGAAAAACAGTCATAAGAAGTCCTTTTTCTTCACTGCTGTTGTAACTTTGAGTGGTCACTAAATGAGATGTTGTAAGTCGAGGACTATCTGTGTGTACAAACATAGAGAAATATTCAAATACCCACAATGGATGAATGGATTTCTGAAGGCAGCAAAATTAACAGATATGGCAAAAGTGACCTGTCTGCTCAGGGAGTTTTATACAATAGTGAATTTTATAATAAAAGAAGTAATTTATAAAATAGTAAGTACTTTTATACAAGACTAGAAACTTTTATAGATGTTATACTGAAGATGGAAAACAAATGAAATGTTGATTTCTGGATTTGACGATTGAAAAAAAGACTGAATAAGGACCTAAAGAGATTATTGTAATGTAAAAGAGGGAAGAGAGATTATGAGTTTGTAACTGCCATACAGAAAGTCAGAGATGTTAGGAAAATACATCTTCAATTAACTTTTCTTTAACTGTATTGTCTTCATTTCTTCTTTTTTTCTCTTTACAAATTTCTATATTTGTCTTTCATCAATATAAAAATGTTCCATAAAAATATAATTTTGGGGGAAGACTATATGGCCTTATTAACTGCCTCAGGCTTGAAGCCAACCTGAATATTGAAACTCGGTATGATCTTCAATATGGTTACCAGAAAACTAACCAGAAAAAAACACTAAACTCCAAGTATTTTTGTGCGTACACACTTACAGCAACAATAATACCCTCTGTGGATGAAGCATTCAATAAAACATGCATATATAATGAAAATCGTAGCTAAGAGCATCTACTACTATTGTAAATCTAAGCAGATTTTCAGAAGGAGAGGGAAAAGCAATGGCCAAAGATTTTTCAGTTAATTTTTTTAAGAGCTTTGGTGATTAATACTTTCCCCTAATCCATTTGCTTCTATATCTGTACTAGACAGTACTGGAAAGCTCTGTGGCCTTCAGCACCAACAACTGCACCTTGCTCTATCTCTTAACTTACAAAGTCCTTCCCAGGGGTTGGATTCTACTGGTTCTGTACCATTCGATAGAACCCCTTGTTAACTCTCTAAGCAGTTCGGAGAACCTGTAGTTACAAGCAATCTCCTTTTGTTTTTTCCCCATGCTTATTACATTCTTGCCAGAATGCCTAGACTACCTGTCTCCGGAGCTTTTGGGGCTTGGCTTTCTTAAAGGGAAAGGGTTGTTTTAAGATTTTTACACTGCTGTTGGGAGGAAATACTTCCCTGGACAATCAGCACTTTGAAGAAATAATTGAATAATGAAGCAAAGCTTTAGTGACAGGGAACCAAAATGAGTGACATTCTTGGCACTCATGGCACATTCTTGACAGGCTTCTTGGCTAGCTAGAAAGATTGACATTCAAACGTGAGTTTACATACCCTTTCTGAGTTTTGGTCTAAACTGGTTTTTGGTGAAGGTTTAATCCTGTGTTTATTGATGGGATAATTTTCCTTATTCAGCTTCAACAAGCAACAGCTACTGTTGTGATTTAATTATTTGTATTGTGTTTGAATTTTTTCCTGCCTCATGGTTTCTTTTTCTATCTGGGGAGGGGGTGTTCCTTCACTGCTTTAGTGGTATCTGGCACTGTCCTTTTGGGGTATACTTTCAAGAGGCAGGATGCAAGCTTGGCACTGATTTTTTTTACTGCCTTTCTGGGGGGCATGTGACCTTTCCTTAAATCTGGATGATTTCCTTAGGATATCTTGTGAGGTGAGTGAGACCATCTTTAAGTGATGCAAATGGATCTAAGGATTGCTTTTCCTGGGTGTGCTTTTTCTGGAGAGCTTAAATGACCTCTCTGCTAAAGGGTTTCACTTTATGAGCAAGAGATGGCTGCTTGATAGTTATCACTGCATTTTAACTATTTTCATTCCTCAAGGTGCTCTGGCACCCTGTCTGATTTGTAACTCTGGCTTGCAGGTATTTTTAATCTAATGATTGGTATTTAGGACAGCTTTTTGCAAGCAAAGAAGCTTTTTGTATTTTTGTACAGGTAATCCTTGACCTATAACAGTTCATTT